TCTCTCTCTCTCTCTCTCTCTCTCTCTCTCTCTCTCTCTCTCTCTTTCTCTCTCTTTCTCTCTCTCTCTCTCTCTCTCTCTCACCACTGACTGTTGTGGGCAGAGGTGTGAAAAGATTAGGGAGCAGCTAAAAGCCTAAAGGTCAGGTAGTCTGGGAAACCCCACCACCCTCACTTCCCAACGCTACCGGGAGGAAGACTGGAGAACTTCTTTCCCAATAGCCCAGCCTGGGATCCCTGGGCAGGGTGGCCCCTCTTGAGGGCTCTGATGCCTTGTTACCATCCCCCCAATCTTCCCTATGACCCCTTGACATCCTCAGCTCACCGTGTACTTGGGCAAACGGGACTTTGTAGATCACCTGGACAAAGTGGATCCTGTAGGTAAGTTTTCCCAAAAAGTGACAGCTCATCCTCTAAGAGGGGAAGAGGTTCCTGGGCCCAGGAATGGGGGAGAGGCCCTTTCAGGAGATGAGCCTGTGTGTCCCTTCCTAGATGGTGTGGTGCTTGTGGACCCTGACTACTTGAAGGACCGCAAAGGTACTGGCCCCCAGGGGAGGTAGGAGGTAGAGAAGTGGAATGGGCTGGCACTGGATGGGTGCCCCAGAGAGATGGAGGGCTGAGGCGGGAGCCAGGAATAGGATTCAGGCAAGTCTTGTGCTGCTGAGGGAGGAGCAGTGGCTGCCAGGTAGTGAGGGGATTGGGGAAGGGGGGCTCCTGACCACCCCACCTTGCCCTCCCTTGCCAGTGTTTGTGACCCTCACCTGCGCCTTCCGCTATGGCCGCGAAGACCTGGATGTGCTGGGCTTGTCCTTCCGCAAAGACCTGTTCATCGCCACCTACCAGGCCTTCCCCCCAACGCCCAACCCCCCCCGGCCCCCGACCCGCCTGCAGGACCGGCTGCTGAGGAAGCTGGGCCAGCATGCCCACCCCTTTTTTTTCACAGTGAGGATGCCCCCCACCCTCTGCAGGGCAAGAGGTCTGGGACTGTGTTCGGAGGGGTGGGTGAGGCACCTGTTAAGGGCAGATCTGGAAGAAACAGTGAGGCAGGGACCCTAGATCCACCTCCCTTCAGGGTCACACTGCATTCAGGAAAGCCTAGACTCTCTACCTCCTCCCTGGGGCCCGTTCCCTCTTACTTTCTCATCCCAGGGGTCCTACCTTCAGCCTCTTAAGTTGAGATTTGGGGGAAGATCTGGGGGATTTCTGGAGGGACTGAAGCCTCACCTTTTGTCTGCCACAGATACCCCAGAATCTGCCCTGCTCCGTCACACTGCAGCCAGGACCAGAGGACACAGGGAAGGTAGGAGTAGAACAGGGTCTGGTGGGAGCCTGGGAGCACAGCTGAGCCATAGGGTGAACTGTTGAGAAGCCAGGTTGGGGCTGAGGGTAGGGCCTTGTCCCCCCTGGCAGTGGGGTATGTATGGTATGGCCACGGTACACATGTGACACTACCTCATCTGTTGACCTGCATGTACCTGGGTATGGGGGCTCCCCTTGCACTGCCACGGTCAAGCCTCTGCCAGGGGCTGGGCCGCGGGGAGGCAGAGGAAGAAAACTCAATCCCCAGGCTCCTCAGACTGTAAGGGGGCAAGAGTCTGTGCCCAAGACAAGGGAAGAGGGGAGGAAGGAAGGGGAGTGTTAGTAGTTTAGTGGCAGGGGCCTTGAATGACATGTGGCCTTGTCTTCCCCTCCCCAGGCCTGTGGTGTAGATTTTGAGATTCGAGCCTTCTGTGCCAAATCACTAGAAGAGAAAAGTCACAAAAGGTGAGGGAAGCAACCTCCTCTGTGGTGTAACAATTCCTCACCCACTTCCAGAAGCCCCAAGCCACTGTGGGAGGTGGAAGCAGAGATTTGGAGGTCTGAGAACTGACCCCTCCCACCCCTCACCCCTGCCCCAGGAACTCTGTGCGACTGGTGATCCGAAAGGTGCAGTTTGCCCCAGAGAAACCTGGCCCCCAGCCTTCAGCTGAAACCACACGCCACTTCCTCATGTCTGACCGGTCCCTGCACCTTGAGGCTTCCCTGGACAAGGAGGTAGAGTGAGAGGGTGACACGGGTGCCACAATACAGGCCAGACCCTGGGGAGAGGGGTGAAGCCACATGTCAAGATGGCGTTTTCAAAGGAGGTTGCCTTGGCTGGGTGTGGAGAGTTGCTATGGGCTTGGGTTTAGAGGGAAGGGCAGAGCAGTGTGTGTTGGGGGACACACGTAATAATGGGACCAGTGAAAAAACAGATCCAACTCACATGACCCCCTCCCCTCAAAAGCTATATTACCATGGGGAGCCCCTCAGTGTCAATGTCCACGTCACCAACAACTCCACCAAGACCGTCAAGAAGATCAAAGTCTCTGGTAGGAGGTGGGGGTTGGAAGGGGGTCTTAGGGGAGGGAGTTGCTGCACAAGTGGCTTCTGGTGTGATCTCAGCCCAGGCCACATCCCAGTGCAAAAGACCCACCAGGGCTCAAAGAATTTAGGTCGTTCTAGAAAGACATGTGGGGCCCCCATGTTTACGGCTTTGAGAGGGCCATGCGGCAGGGGTGGGGGTCGGGGAGCTGGGCCTGGGTCGCGTGCCCTGTGGTCTGGAGCCGTAGCGTGGTGCTAGTCTGCACCCCATCCAGAGCTGCTTGACCTTGCCCCGCCCCACAGTGAGACAGTGCGCTGACATCTGCCTCTTCAGCACCGCCCAGTACAAGTGTCCCGTGGCTCAGATCGAACAAGAGTGAGTATCAGAACAGACTCGAGTCCCAGTCTTGGGGGAGAAGAGTAGGACAGGAGAATGTGAGGGGCAGGGTAGAATTCTTCCTGAACCATCTGCACTTGAAAGGGCATTCCTCCACAGCCAGGTAGCTCTGAGCTATTAATTTTCCTGAGCAGGTTGAGCCAAAACCTACTCCCCTGTGACCTTTGCCCAGGGAGAGAAGGGACTAGTGAGGGAGGGAGATGCTGCCCCCTCACCCAACCTGGCCCCTCTAAGTCTTATTCTTTTATCTCTATCCCCCAGTGACCAGGTATCTCCCAGTTCCACGTTCTGTAAGGTGTACACCATAACCCCACTGCTCAGTGACAACCGGGAGAAGCGTGGTCTTGCCCTGGACGGGAAGCTCAAGCACGAGGACACCAACCTGGCTTCCAGCACCATGTGAGGGGGCACTGGAGGGGGTCCCCTGCAGGCCAGGGGACAGAAATTCATTCAGTGCTGTGAGCCAGGCTCTGTCCTAGGTGTCAGGGATACATCAGTGAACAGAAGAGATGAAAAGAACTCTTACATCCTGGGAAAGGGAGGACAGACAGATCCGATCAGTGGTCAGATATACAGCATGTTTAGTGACAAGTATGAAGGAGAAAAGCAAGGCAGAGAAGGGAGATACAAAGTATGGGGTGGGGGCGCGGTGTGTAGGGTAGCAAGGGATGGCATGATACAGAGGGGAATTTTGAGTAAGGACCCAGAGGAAGTAGGTGCCATTGTGCCCTCAGGCAGCAGCCCCGGAGGTCTGCAGCTTCACAAGGAGCTGGATTTCATCTCCAGCGGTGCCTTTGTTCAGGGTTCTCACTGCACAACCACACGCAGCAGGCCTGGAGGCCAGTGTGGTGAGAACGAACGGTGTACAAGGAGAGGCGTAGGAAGTGAGGTCAGGGGCTAAGGGAGAGCAAGACAGTGTGAGGCTGCGAGAAGAGGAGGACGTCCGCTTTCACTGCAAGAGATGAGAAGCCACAGGAGGGCTCTGAGCAGGGGCATGCTCTGGCGTACTTTACCATGGTGACTGCGCAGCCCATGCTGCTGGAGCCCTGCAGGCCAGCATAGTTCCGCTCAGAATCCTGATGGGAGCCTCAGGGTAGGCTAGGTGACAAGGCAGTGGGCCCTGGTCCGACTCCCCCCACCCCCAATTGCAGCGTGAAGGAGGGTGCCAACAAGGAAGTGCTGGGAATCCTGGTGTCCTACAGGGTCAAGGTGAAGCTGGTGGTGTCTCGAGGCGGGTGAGTTCCACGGGGGAGCCCGGGTGGGGGTCACAGTTGGTTCTTTCTGGCCCAGTGTCATCGCCTTCTTCATGCCACCTCTCCCCCTCCCCAGGGATGTCTCGGTGGAGCTGCCTTTTGTTCTTATGCACCCCAAGCCCCATGACCACATCACCCTCCCCAGACCCCAGTCAGGTGAGCACGCCACCCACCCCAGGGCCCCGAGAGGAGGGCCTGAAGCAGGGCCAGAGGAGAAAAGCTGGTCCTTCCAACACCCACCCCCTCTCCTCCCCTCAGCCGCTCCAGAAACAGATGTCCCCGTGGATACCAACCTCATTGAATTTGATACCAAGTAAGAAACTCATTCCCCTGCTTTGACCTCTTTGGACGAAGATTCCCACAGTATTCAAATCAGCCCTCGTACCTCCTATTTTCTTTTGGTGGGGAAGGGTGGTTGAGGCATCACCACCGGGATGCCTCAGCCTTGTGAGGCTGCCCGTTTCTGCCCTTGTTTGTCCCTTCTTGCAAACACCTCTGTCCCTGGTGGTGGGGAGGCAGGGAGTGGGAGGCTGAAAAAAGGGTCAGAAGCCCCCACCTCACCCCTGTCCTTTCCACCACCAAGCTATGCCACAGACGACGACATTGTGTTTGAGGACTTTGCCCGGCTCCGGCTGAAGGGGATGAAGGATGACGACTACGATGACCAATTCTGCTAGGAAGGGGGGCTAGAAGAAGGGAGTGGATGGTGCTGGGAGAGGTAGGGGCAGGACCAAGATCCCCACTGTCACTGAGGGGAGGTGTCCCAGCCTCTCTTCCCTTCCCCTCCATCCGGCAGCTTCCTCAACCAACCCCTTCACTCCCTCTCCCCCATCCCAACATACGCACTGGACCCGTCTCTTGCTGAACGTGGGCATTAATTTTTTGACTACAGCTCTGCTTCTCCAGCCCCCCAGTGGGTGGCAAGCTGTGTTCATCCCTAAGTTTTTTGGAGGGGGACACTGAAAAGAGAAGTGGTAGTAGGGAAAGGGGGAGAAAGAATTGCCACATTCAACCTCATACCAACACCCACTCCTGTCACTCTGCCTCCCATTCGATAAGACCCTTGGGGAGGGCAAGGCTGTTTCTTTGTTTCTGAGCATAAAGAAGAAAATAAACCTTTTAATAGGCGTGAGCGTGTGTGTGTTCTCTGGAGCATTTAAAAGTGTACAGCGTGCTCATCCATGGTTCTGTTAGCTGTGGGTGAGGACCCCAAAAGCACTTGGCACACTGGCTATGGATGAATGTTTGCTGAATGACTGTGCTGGGCCTGTGATTCAAGGGAAACAGCGAAACTTGATTTGGTCAGTCAAATTCAAGGGTACACCTTGGTAAAGCCACAAAGTAAACTTGGTCGTTTACAGGGGAAGTAATAACTAACTTCCCTGTAGACGAGATGCTCACGGGATCTGGGCAGGGCAGGCTCTTCCCTGTTGCGGCTGACACACATGACCGCATCGTGACCGAGTTGTGTTCATTTCCGTTGCTCAAGCAGTCCATTCCTGGGGATCAGTGGGACCGCAACTGCAGGCCTCTCCAGACAGAAGTCACACACCATCTCCGTGGAGTCTGGTACTTACATTCTAACACAGAAGCCGAGGCCTTGGGGAACCCAGAAAGTCATGCTGCTGTGAGCCAGACTCCTCGGGCCTGCGTCCTGGTGCTGCTCCTGTGGCGTGCAGCAGGGACTTCCTGAGGCTTGGCCCAAGCCCCAGGCTGGGCTGGAGGGAGTTAGCAACACACCAGGGACATTTCTGACCTGCATCACCCACTCCCACTGCTGTAGCCCAACCTTTCTCTGCTTTTTCTCTTAAGACTCCTTCATTCATTCCACGAACACTCTTTTTGCTAACATTTTTTTTTTTTTTTTTTTTTGAGACAGAGTCTCACTCTTTTTGCCTGGGCTAGAGTGCCGTGGCGTCAGCCTAGCTCATAGCAACCTCAAACTCCTGGGCTTAAGCGATCCTCCTGCCTCAGCCTCCTGAGTAGCTGGGACTACAGGCATGCGCCACCATGCCCGGCTAATTTTTTCTATATATTTCTAGTTGTCCAGCTAATTTCTTTCTATTTTTAGTAGAGACGGGGTCTTGCTCTTGCTCAGGCTAATCTCAAACTCCTGACCTGGAGCGATCCTCCCGCCTCGGCCTCCCAGAGTGCTAGGATTACAGGCATGAGCCACCGCTCCCGGCCCATTCCATGAACACTCTTGATTTGAGTCCCTGCTACATGCCAGGCATGGTATGGTATAGGAACATAGCAGTACAACCAAAACAAACATTAAATCATTCTCTAATTATTTCATTGCAATATCTATGCTTCCAAGGAAAGGCACAGGAGCTGTGAGAAGGCGCCACAGGGAGTTCTGACTTAGGCTGGGTTTTGGGGAAGATGTCCCTGGACGAAGTGACCTTTAAACAGAGAACTGAAAGATGAGGAAGAATTGGAGGACCGTGCAGGCATGAGCATTCTGGGCAGTGGCCACATCATGTGCGAAGGTAGTAAGGAACAGCTCATTTTGGGGACTGAAAAGAGGTCAGAAGGACTAGGACAGACACAGCCAGAGGAGAGTAGTTCCAGATGAGGCTGGTGAGGCAGACGGAGGCAGCTCACACAGGCCATTAGTCTATGTTACAGCTCATGACATTTAATTAAATCATTATTTATCCACAGGCTTTAGGTGCTGCCAAAATGACCTTGCTTACCCCGCCACAGTAGCTGCCTCCCCTGCATACCCTGGACTTTATCATGTGGAGGAAACTATCTCCTCTAAAACATTCACCTCCAGCATCCCTCTGACTCCCACGAACCTGTTACTTGACCTCTAAGCCAATGGATCTCAAACTTTTTCAGGAGAATCAGAACCCTCTGGAAGGAATGATAGATCCAGAGTCTGGCTCTACCTTCCCAGATACTAAGTCAAGAGATCCCAAGAAGAATCCATGAATCTAGATTTTTAATTAGCACTCCTTTGAGAAACAATGCTTTCTTTTAGATTTTTATGTTTTTAATGTTTTTTAGAAGGTGATACATGTACACGGTTTTTTTTGTTTTGTTTTGTTTTTTTTGAGACAGAGTGTCACTCTTTTGCCCCGGCTAGAGTGAGTGCCGTGGCGTCAGCCTAGCTCACAGCAACCTCACACTCCTGGGCTCAGGCGATCCTTCTGCCTCAGCTTCCCGAGTAGCTGGGACTACAGGCATGCGCCACCATGCCTGGCTAATTTTTTCTATGTATTTTTAGTTGTCCGATTAATTTCTTTCTAATTTTAGTAGAGACAGGGTCTTGCTCTTGCTCAGGCTGGTTTCGAACTCCTGAGCTCAAACAATCCGCCCGCCTCAGCCTCCCAGAGAGCTAGGATTACAGGCGTGAGCCACCGCGCCTGGCCCATGTACACGGTTTTAAAAAAAATCCAAACAGGCTGGGCACGGTAGCTCACACCTGTAATCCTAGCATTTTGGGAGGCCAAAGTGGGAGGATTGCTTGAGAACAGCCTGAGCAAGAGCAAGACACTGTCTCTATAAAAAATAGAAAAATTAGCCAGGCGTGGTGGAGTGTACCTATAGGCCGAGGCGGGAGGATCACTTGAGCTCAGGAGTTAGAGGCTGCAGTGAGCTATGATGATGCCACTGCACTCTAGCCTGGGCAACAGAGCAAGACCCTGTCTCATAAAAAAAAAAAAATCCAAACAGTATAAAACAGTCAATAGTAAAGGGCAGCTCTCTCCTGTCCAATCCCCCACCCTCCATTTCTCTCTCACAGAGGCAGTCACTATCACTGGTTCCTTGATTACCTTTCCAAAGATATGCTTCATATTCAGCTGTACATGTGTGAATATATGTACTCACCATCTTACTGTAAAAACAGGTAGTAGTATACTATGAATTCTTCTACATCTTGCTTTTTTCACTTAATAGTATATCTAAGAGAGCATTCCTTAAGCACTACATACTGATCCACTGTATTCTTTTAAAGAACAGCTTTCCATCAGCTAGCGGTCATTTATTTTCGCCAGTTTCCTACTGATAGACATGTAGAATATCCACTATTTTGCTAATTCAAACAGTATTATGATAGTTATCCTTGAAAATATGTTTTTGTGCACATGTGAAGTATATGTGTAGGACAAATTCTTAACAGTAGAATTTCTAGGTCAATATCTTTTGAATTTGTATCTAGTTTTTTCTTATTTTAAAATGTGTAATTCAATGGCATTTGGTATATTTACAATTTTGTGCAACCATCACCTCTGTCCAGTTCCAAAACATTTGGCTTCTAGGATTCGTAATAATACATAAATCTTTTATTTTAATGTGATCAGATATAAGTACTTTTTTAAATGGCTTCTTGTTTTTTTGTCACAAAACTCTTGGCCCTTGTGTTTTCCACACTTTCATACTTCCTTTTCTTTCCAGCCTACACTTCAAGATCATCATATCAACCACTGTCTCATCAGCACACTCAACTTCTCCTCTTTTCACAATCGTGTTCTCAAACCACACCTCGGATCTGTCCAACTATCTCCCGCCCCTTCTCTGCTCCAACCAGGGACTGATGCCTACTGCCAAAGAAAAATCATACAACCACACTTACTCCTTCATTCAACGAATATTTTTGAACACGTTCTAGGTACCAGGCACTAGGTATCAATTTGGGGCCCCTAAAGATTTATGGTCTGTAACCTAAACTGGGCCCTGAATACCTGATCACCCCCTGTCCCTCTCCATGTCCTGGGTCACCTCCCTCTCCTGCTCCCATCCTACTCACTAATTTTCCACCTTCCTCATGTTCATAGTGACTTCTCCTGTATTTCACAAAGATTAGGCAATGAAGGATGAATGATTTCAATTTCCCACCTCCTACCGACAAACACTGACATCTACACCAATTCTCCTACGCAGCCAAGGTTAAGATGCCTTCTCCAGTTCAAAGCTAATCCCTCCACCTGTGCTCAGATCTCTCTCCTCCTACCTCCTCCGAGACCTTGATTCATCAAACTACATTCGTCTCTTCAACCTCTGTCTCTCCTGGCTCTTTCTCCATAGTAAAAAAAAAAAAAAAAAAAAAAAAAATCTCACGCAAGTCTCTTCCATTGAAGGAAGGAGGGGAGGGAGGAAGAGAGGAAGAGAGAAAACCAAAGAAAAAACTCTCCTCCACTCTTAGGTCTCTTTCACAGTAAAGTACATCTCTATTTCCTTTCCCGCTTTTCATTCTTTACTTTTAATTTGCAAAGTTTTATATATTTTCAAAGTTAAATATACATATTTTTCCAAAGTTTAAGGAGTTGGATAGTACTACAAGACCTATTATAATAAAAACCAGACCCCTTCCCCCGCCTCCAATTTCCTTCTCCCCAGAGACAATTACTTTCACCTCTTTTAGATGTTTCTTTTGGCATTTACCTCCGTATCCCTAAACATGCTTATTTTGCTACTTCTTGATTGATTTTTGTTTTAACCATCATCTACTAACTCCCTGCTATATAAGGTAAAAACTGAGTTCCCTTTCATGCCCCCCGGCCCACGATGAAATACTTTCCATCCTCCCCAAACCCTATACTCCCAAAAGAATTGTATCAGTTGGGGTTAGATCCATATTCAGTATTTAATTATGCCTATGCAAGTGTTATTGACAGCTGAGTCATGCGGTATATTATAATTACCCTTCTCTTCTTGTACAACTTCATTTTCCCTAAATAATTGTCATTTTTAAATTTGCTTATTCTCTGAATTTATCACTAATCAGCCCTATACTCTCCTCCAAAAGTCTATATATCCTCTCAATTCATTTAAATCAAAACAGATGTTCACCTCTTAAATCTCTCCAGGATCCTTCTAATCTGCTCCATTCTGAGCTGGTTTTTCTTCACGTCCCTTGGATTTCTCTTCACCATAACCCTGGGGTTCCCATTCACCTCTCTCACGAGTAAGCCTTAGTTCCTGGATCTAACTCTGATAAATTCCTGAGAAAGGGTACACATAGAAAAATTTTGAGACCTTGTACATATCAAAATGTCTTTTATTCTACATTCATAATTGAGAGTTTGGCTTTGCGAGACTCTAGATATCCCCTAAACTCTATTCTTCTATGGTACTAAAACAATAGCTGGCCGCCTAGGTAAGGGCTGGATTTCCCAGAACCCCCAAATTAGGTGAGATCATATGACTAACTTGTCTTCAATGGTAAGTGAGTAGAAATGAAACAGGCCACTTCCTAGCCAGACCTCTGAGACAGATATACCTCCTCCACATTTTTCTCTTTACCCTTCCTGCAAACTGCAACCCAGGGATGGCAGCAACTCGCTTTTGACAATGCAAACAAACGACAATGCCGTAAAGCAATGTTTCTCAAATTTTATTGTGCATACAAATCACCTGGGGATCTTAAAACACACGCCTGTAATCCTAGGACTCTGGGAGGTTGAGGTGGGAGGATTGCTTGAGCTCAGGAGTTCAAGACCAGCCTGAGCAAGAGCAAGACCCCATCTCTACTAAAAATAGAAAAATCAGCAGGGCGTTGTGGTGTGAGCCTGTAGTCCCAGCTACTTGGGAGGCCGAGGTGAGAGGATCATTTGAGCCCAGGAGTTTGAGGTTGCTGTGAGGTAGGCTGATGCCACAGCACTCTACTGAGGGCAACAGAGTGAGACTCTGTCTCAAAAAAAAACCCCCAAAGAAACAAACAAACAAACAAAAAAAACACAGACAGTGATTCAGCAGGTCCAGGGTGGGAAGTGAGATTGTGCATTTCTAACAAGCTTCTAGGTAACGTCAATGCCACCAGTCTGCAGATCACACTTTCGAGTATAAGACCCTAAAGGATGGCAGAGCTGCACTGCTAGCCTTGGTCCCTGTATGATTTGTGGAGCACACTGAACTACCTACACTGAATTGTTTTATGAGAAAAAATTAAGTCCCATTTTGTTGAGTCATTACATTTTTGGTCTTCACCCTAACACAGGTGGAGTATAGAATTCTAGATTGGAAATCACTTTCCTACAAAATGTTGAAGGCATTGCTCTACTGTCTTCTAGTGAGGAATGTTACTATTAAGCAGCCCAGCCAGGCCCAGTGGCTCACACCTGTAATCCCAGCACTTTGGGAGACCAAAGCAGAAGACTGCTTAAGCCCAGGAGTTCAAGACCAGTCTTGGCAACAAAGCCAGACCCCATTTCTGCAAAAAATTTAAAAATTAGCCGGGTATGGGGGCACACACCTATAGTCCTAGCTACTCAAGAGGCTAAGGGCAGAGGATCACTTGAGCTCAGAAGTTAGAGGTTGCAGTGAGCAATTATATGATCATGCCACTGCACTCTAGCCTGGGTGACAGAGCAACACCTTGTCTCTAAAAAAAGAAGAAAAAAAAAAGAGGCCCAGTGCCATTCTGGCTGCTGATTCTTAGCATGTGGTCTGTTTTCTCTCGGAAACCTTTTACAAGGCTTTTTCTTTGAGCCTAGTATTCTGAGGTACGAGTCTATTTTCCTTCATTTCCCTGGGCACTTGATGGGCCCTTTTAATCTGAAAGCACAAGTCCTTTCTTCCCCCTTCATTTTCTCTGTGATCTCTCCTTCTAGAATGTAAGTCTCCTGGATTGATTCTCTAATTTTCTTTCCTTTTCTTTCCTATATGCCATCTCTTTTCTTTTGCTTTATTTGCTGGAAGAGTTCCTCAATTTCTCTTTCAACCCTTTCTCTTATCAACTCTTGTGATAGATTTTTCATTATTTCCCCCATGGTTTGATTTTTCAAGGATGCTTTCTTGGATTCAATTCTTTTTTAAAGTATCTCTTACCTAAGAGCTTCAACAGTTTTTGTTGTTTTTTTTTTTTTCCGGTTTATTTTGGTCTCTCTCTTTCATGTCAGAAAGTTTCTTCAAATATCTAGAAACCTTTTGCTTTCTGTTCATATTTAAGAGTGAGATGCTAAGAAGTTGACTAGAAGTTCCATGTACACAGATGGGACTTACCAACTGTGAGTTTCACTACGGGGAGATCTGGCCAACTGTTTGGTTGGAGAGCCCCTGATGTTAACATCCTTAGGTCTTTTCTCTAACTAATCAAATTCTGCAGAGAAAAGTCTTCTAGTCTCTGACCTGGAAAGTATAAGCCTCATTACTAGAGTTTTAGAAACCACTATTCAGTATATAAACTTTCACTTAATCTCTTTTCAATGCAGTACTCTTGCCTTCAGCTATGCCCAGGTGGCCTCCAAGCTAAACACCCTGTTTTCCATCTCCAACAAAGAAACCTCCAGTATTCTGACAGGTTGAGGGAGATTAGTCGCCAACATATTAATATATGGAGTCAAGAAAAATATCTGATGGTCTAATGACTTCAAATAATCCTCCTGGCTGGGCACAGTGGCTCACACCTGTAATCCTAGAACTTTGGGAGTCCAAGGTGGGAGGATTGCTTGAGGTCAGGAGTTCAAGACCGGCCTGGGCAACACAGCAAGACCCTGTCTCAACGAAAAAATTTTAAAATTAGCTGGGCATGGTGGCACATGCCTGTAGTCCCAGCTACTCGAGAGGCTGAGGTCAAAGGATTGCTTGAGCCCAAAAGTTCAAGGATGCAGTGAGCTACAATCATGCCACTGTATACGAACCTGGGTGACAGAGTGAGACCCTATCTCTAAAAAAAAAAAAAAAAAAAAAAACCTCCTAATTTTTGTACCACCTTCACCCCAGTTGTACATGATCCCATTAATTTAAGGGTAAATCAGGTTGCTTCTAAGCTTTCTTCAGTGCTAGCTTAGTTATCACTTCACTGCCTAATCAGTTATCACTTAGCCTCTGTTTTCTAGCTTCTATCTAAAGTTTTCCTATTAACTCCTCTTCCTTTCTCTTTGACCCCTTTAAAAAATAACTTTACTGTTATTTTATTAGGAGATAAGGAAGAATGAAGTTAAATGCTAAATCCATCAAGTTTAACTGAGTCTCCATTCATTTGCTAACCCTGGGCAAACTGGTTTCATTCTTGGTGATTTTGTATAAATTGTCACAAATGATCCTTCCTAAAAGGTAAATCTGGTCATAACACACTTCTTGAAAATCTTTTAAAGGCTCCCAAATGCCTTCAGAGTAAAGTCTAAATTACTTACCTGGCAAGCCTTTTCCTGATCTGGCTCTCCTTTCAGTCTGACCACTGTCACACCTAACCTCCACAATGCTCTATGCACTCCAGTCGAACTGAGCCCCCTGCTGGACTCCAAATGTGCTAGGTCCCTCACAGGACCACCCTCTTGCCTATGCTGTTTCCCTTTTCCACTCCCACCTCTCATCCACCTAGTCAACCATTTAAGATTCAGTTAAAGGCTGGGAGCAGTAGCTCATGACTGTAATCCCAGAACTTTGGGAGGCAGAGGCAGGAGTTCCAGACCAGCCCGAGCAACATAGTAAGACCCTGTTTCTACAAAAATTTTAAAATTAGCTGGCCGTGGTGGTTCATGTCTGTAGTCCTAGCCACTGGAGAGGCTAAAGTGGGCGGACTGCTTGAGCCTAGGAGTTCAAGGCTGCAGTGAGCTATGACCACGCCACTGCACACCAGCTTGGGTGACAGAGCGAGACCCTGTCTCTGAAAAAATAAAAAGATTCAATTCAAGCAGCACTTCGTCCAATAATCCTTTCTCCGTGCTCCTTGCCACACACTTCGGGCACAGCTCTAACAAAACATCTATTCCACTATCACGTGAGAGTCCATCTCATCGATCTTTGTATTTCTGGAGCCCAACACCTAAAAGGTAATGGGAAGGGGAAAGAGAAATTGGCTGGAAGGAGCCAGCGTCGGAGAACATATCAACAGTCTGCGTTCCAGTTAGGCTCATGGTCAGAGGGAAGACCTAAGGAGACTAACGTAACACTCACCAAGTCAAGCATTCCTGGGGTGCAGTGAATAAAGGGCCCAAGGCTATACCCGTCTGGAAAAGTGCCCCGAAACTCCCACTATAGTCACCTAGCACCCAACAGACGCTTAACAAATTCTCTTAGAATTAAACATAGGCCACAAGCAGTACACTGACGGTGGACAAGTGTGAACAGCTTTAGGCTTTGGGATATTTCCATACCGCCTCTCACCATACGTGGCCCCGCGTCGGAGGCGCAGACCCGGACAGGCGCAAGACGCCCTGGGAGCTGTAGTTCACCAGATGGAGCGAGAAGGGTGCGGCTGCGCTGAGCATCCTGGGAATTGTAGTGTGCGCTAGACGGAGCCCTCCGCGCAGGCGCAAACCCACAGCTACTTCCGGGACCAAGCCTCGCGTTTCTTAGGGGTAAATCCCGCGGAAGATTCTCAGAGCGACGATGGCTACATACAGCCTGGCGAACGAGCGACTACGCGCCTTGGAAGAGATCGAACGCGAAATTGGCGCCATCCTTCAAAATGCAGGTTCGCAGTGCGACAACCGGCCGGCAGGGAGCGACAGAGAGGCCAAGCTGTGCGCACTTGCGAGGATCGGAGACTTGGAGCAGGGCTGGGGAGGGATCCTAGGTGCATGCGCGGCGACGTTTGCGGGGTGTGAGGGGCAGGCCTTAGGGCGGGGCTATAACTGGCAGTTCCCAGGCAGCTGCGCCCACTCTTTGCTCTGGCAGGTACTGTGATCCTAGAATTGTCCAAGGAAAAAACCAATGAGCGGCTCCTAGACCGGCAGGCGGCGGCCTTCACCGCTTCAGTGCAACACGTGGAGGCGGAGCTGTCGGCCCAGATCCGCTACCTCACTCAGGTGGGTGTGTCTGTCCGGCCGGCCTTCTAGGACCGCTTTCTTCCTTTAAAAGGAAACAATTGGCCCGGCGCGGTGGCTCACGCTGGTAATCCTAGCACTCTGGGAGGCCGAGGCGGGTGGATCGCTCAAGGTCAGGAGTTCGAGACCAGCCTGAGCAAGAGCGAGACAAACCCCCCGCCCCCCCCAGTCTGTACTAAAAAAATAAAAAAGAAAGAAAGTAGCTGGACAACTAAAAATATATATATATATAAAAATTAAAAATATTGACCGGGCACGATGGCACATACCTGTAGTCCCCAGCTCACTTGACCCCATGAGCCCAGGAGTTTGAGGTTGGTGTGAGCTAGGCATGATGCCATGACTGTGAGACTTTCTCTCAAAAAGTAAATAAATTGGCTCACGCCTGTAATCCTAGCTCTCTGGGAGACCGAGGCGGGTGGATTGTTCGAGCTCAGGAGTTGGAAACCAGCCTGAGCAAGAGCCAGACCCCGTCTCTACTAAAAGTAGAAAGAAATTAATTGGACAACTAAAAATATATATAGAAAAAATTAGCCGGGCATGGTTGGCACATGCCGGTAATCCCAGCTACTCGGGAGGCTGAGGCAGGAGGATCGCTTGAGCCCAGGAGTTTGAGGTTTTGCTGTGAGTGAGCTAGGCTGACGCAGGGGCAACACAGTGAGACTCTGTCTCAAAAAAAAAAAAAGTAAATAAATAAAAGGAGGAGGCCGGGCGTGGTGGCTCACGCCTGTAATCCTAGCACTCTGGGAGGCCGAGGAGCTCAGGAGTTCGAGACCAGCCTGAGCAAGAGCGAGACCCCCGTCTCTACCAAAAAATGGAAAGAAATTAGCCAGGCATGGTGGCACGTGCCTGTGGTCCCAGCTACTCGGGAGGCTGAGGCAGGAGGATCGCTTGAGCCCAGGAGTTTGAGGTTGCTGTGAGCTAGGCTGACGCCACAGCAAGAGAGTGAGCCAGGCAAGAGAGTGAGACTCTGTCTCAAAAATAAATAAATAAATAAATAAAAGGAGGAAAGTGTTAAAGGGCGTCCTGTCTACCTCACGGGGTGTGCCTGGGGGAGGGTGACTAATGCTAGAGTCACAGTTCTGTCCTGGGAAACTTGGCCTGACCTCCATGAGTCTTAACCAGTAAGCCTGAGAAAAAGGACAGGATCAGAGAAAGTTCTGAAGTCCTTACAACGGCTACCAACAATTACTAAGACGCTCTATCTTATCTTATCCATCAACTCTTTTAAAGATGAGGTTCAAGAAATGAGACAAGAGACTTGATGCCAGGTTGGGGTATGGATAAAAGAGCCTGTGCTCCATTGATCAATCTAACTGTCCTGTAGGTGGCCACAGGGCAGCCCCATGAGGGCTCCAGCTACTCTTCAAGGAAGGACTGTCAGATGGCTCTGAAGCGAGTGGATTATGCCCGCCTCAAGCTCAGTGATGTGGCCCGAACCTGTGAGCAGATGCTGGAGAACTAGGCCAAGGCGGTGGATGAAGAGCTTGGAGGGAAATCATGACCTGCACTGTGGGACAAATCCTGGGAACGTGTAGGATGGGGACCACAGGCTGACAGGTACATGCTCTGCTGATCAGAGTATGCTAGAACAAAGGGGCAAAAGGTGGGAATGGAGAAACTAAAGCCCAGGCCTGCCCACAGCTGTGCCCTGGCTTCTCCAGCAGGGTGCTCCTGCTCTGCACTCTACAGGCATGCTGAGAGGCCCAGACAGGAGACGGAGAATCAGACACCCAACCCATTTCCTCACACACTTCATGCTGCTGCCCCAGGCTCCCCGCAGACTTGGCCCAGCGAAGATACATTCTTTGTTGGAAGAGATGAAAATAAGAACTAAGGGTTTTAATAATAAAAACATTAACAATAAAAACAAGAACAGATTCTCATTTGAGGTATATGACTGACGCAAGTGATTCAGGAAGTAAAACCAGTCTGTATGGTGGCAGCAGCACAGCAGCCACTAAGGAAGGAGGCTGGGAAAGCCCAGGCTTTCATTGTGGGGTTTAGGGAGGAAGTGGGAGAGGGCTGAGGCTGGGGAGGAACAACTGGTGTAGTGCGAAGAGAGACTTGGGACAAGGGGGAACCATTAGTAAAACTGAAGCCTGGAATTAAAAGGGGGCCCAGGCCTGAGGCCAATTTCTGCAGAAACAGGAGTCAATAATTAAAAAAATAATTTTTAGTAGTTAAAAAACACACAGAGAATTGTTCAAGCCATCATCACCGAATAGAACAGAAATATTTTGTAATACAGCATTTTTTTAAAACGAGAGGTCTAAGAGCAGCAGCTAGTTAGTCAAATATTAAGAGATAGTATTGAGCACCTACTCCTGCCAGAGGTTAACCATAAAGACCTTTTAGTAGTGAAGACTGAGCTAGCACATAAAGATTTCTTAGGAAAATAAATCACAGTCTCTACCCTTACAAGCTTTTGTTTTTCTTTTTAAGCTTCTGTTCTTGACTCAGGCATTGGAATCTGGTGCCACAAGTGTATAATGAAGTTGCAAATCTGGAAAGGATAAAGAAATTGAGAGATGAACTCTGAAGTCAAGGAAGTGGTAGGGGTGATAGCTTGAACTGGGGAGTCAGACTCCAAGACATTAACCCTATTACCTGGTACACAGTAGGTGCTTAGTAAAGATTTGTGAATTGAATGAATGGCCCTCATCTTCCTCCACAGCTTCATTTCCCACTAGCTTAGTGTCTAGCCATCATCTTCCTTTTTTTTTTAATCCTCATACCCTGACTCTCATGGAATAGCCATCTTCTTATTCCAAACACACTGGTCCCTGGGTCCATGGTGGCTTCCCTCCCTCTCTACTCTATAGACTCTGGCTGACTCTGCCCTCACAGCCTGTGGTCCATGGTGCAGGCAACCTTAATATTTCTGTGCCTGGGCCAGGCTTCCAGCCACTTGAGAGCTACTGGGGGCAAGATCCCTCCCAAGAAAGCTATGGGTCCCTGGAGAGGGTAGGTTTCAGAGAGTCAGTTTACCTGGAGAGGAGTATAGTGACTGCTTCCTCCTCTTGCACAGCAGATACACAAGGATTCCAGTGAGGATAAAGATGATGCCCAGGAGGGATGGCACTGCTACTAGGGCTGATATCCCAGCTTCAGGACCAGCATTGTCTTCCAGCTGCTTCTGGTTCTCCCCAGCCTCATGCCCAACTCCAAGACTGTGGCCCACGGTGGGAGTGGTGGTTTCATTGGGATGAGGGAGCTCTTTGCCCAAGGACAGTGATCCTAGTGGAAGGGTGAGGTGCTGGGTAGACTGCAGAGTGGATGGCATGAGCGTCTGGGCAGGGGTGCGCATGTCTGAAGGTGCCCCCTCTGAGGGCTCAGAAATCTGGGTGCTGGGAGGAGGTAAATGCTCCCGGCGGGCCAGAGTCCCCAAGTGAGCACGTCCACATTCTGGAAAGGAAAGAAGTGAGGAATCAGGGCTATCAGGGGACAAGGTGAAGAAGCAGATAGGGGAGTAGGGGAGAAAAAATATCTTTTCCCCACCCATCACAAGAGTCATGGCTGACACCCCTATAACAAAAAAACAGATTAACAAGAGAAAAGCATAACAAATTTAATCAAAGTTTTACATGACATGGCAACCTTCAGAAATGAAGACGCAAATACCCAGGGAAAACTATTTTTATGCTTAGGTTCAATGAAGAAAGAACAGTTGCATAGAAATGTGATTGGACAAAAAGGGGGGAATAGCAAGGCCTGTCTGTTTTAGAGTCTTCCTGGCCTCCAGGATAGGGCAGGACCCCTCTGGAAGGAAAATTTTATGACACTTCCAGGTGAGGTAGCTCAGAGAATTCCTTTGTGGCTAGCTCTCACAAAGAAAGACAGGAAGCTCGGAGTGAGCTTCTTGCTTCTGCAGTTTTCTTAACTGCCAAGGTGCCATGTTTTGGGGTTCTGAGCTCCAACAGAGGAGAGAGCACTGGGTCAGGGAGAACATCAATGGGACAGCTGAAGGCCAGGAGAGGAAGGCAGCAGCAGTGGGGAAAGGCAGGAGACAAGTAAGTGATTAAACCACAAGATGCAACCACTGGGACAAGTGAGTGATCTGAACTGAGAAGTCAGGAGAGGAGCCCAGGGTTGGAACCCTGGCTGTGCTACAAAATAGCTATGTGACCTTGCCCCATGTTTCTATCCTCTCTGTGACTCTTTCTTTCAGCTATAAAATGAGGATAATTTTAGTACCAAAAGCCAGGGGAGCTGGGAGGATTAAATGAAATAACATAGGTCTAGGCAGTCTGAAGGGCAGTATGGGCACCACTGCTGCTACACAAGACAACTGTAGCTAGGGCATGGAAGAACAGTTTTAATGGTTGTATATTTTAAGAGAAAAATAAACCAGCACATCAAACTTGTGACTTCACAGATGTGATTGCTTAGGATAAGTTGCTATTTAAGTTTTTCAAAACTGGTTTGTGTATACTTAAGGTTTATTCATTTCATTGTATGTAAATTTCACCTCAGAGGAAGAAAAGGAGCACCAAGAGATTGAACTCTACTAGATATACATGCTGGAATGTTTTGGGATGAAGTACAATGATGCCTGCAACTTACTTTGAAATGCATCAAAAAATAAGGTGATTCATGCTGGGTAAAGGGATAGACACATGGATGTGAATTAAAGCAAATATAGTAAAATGCTGTAAAATCAATGTTGTAAAATATAAAATATCTTTGTTTTATTATGTAAATATTATATAAAAAATATATAAATCAAATAGTGTAGAATCTAGGTAGTGGGTATGTGGATGTTCACTGTATAATTCTTTTAACTTGTTTATATCTAAATTTTCATAATAAAATATTGGAAAAAAAATAATGCCTTAATTTCAAGAAAAAATATTAAGTAAATAATAGCACATGTGGTAGAATGACTGGCAAATATCACAAAGGTGGTGGTGAATGACCTCTGGCCATTGAAAGGCAAATGAAAGCACTTTGGCCAGGATCATTCTAGGAATGTGTGACATCAGTGGGGAAAGGGTTGAGGCAAAGAAAACTGTGAGGTGGAGGCCAGTCAGCCCTGGAGGCAAAGCCTGAAGAGGAGGGTGAAGCTCTTACCTTTGCGATCAAGGCACCTCATCAATTCCTGAACCCACTGGTCTTTCCTGCCGCCACACACACTCCGGGAAGGTAGCTGGAACCTGTGCAGAAAACCTGGTCTTAGCTGTGGCTCTCCCTTCCCTTGCCCAGCAATTTCCTCATTCCAAACATGTGAAGTCACCAAGAAAAAACCAATTCTGCTGGAACTGGGAAATCCCCAGTTAGATGGGACAGAGAAATTAAGGTGGGAGAACTGGAACAAACAGAACCCAAAAGTGGGGGTAAGGTCCTCCTAAAAGGAGTTGGGGTTTGACTAGAGAGGGTCCTGGAGGCACCTGGCAGGGAAGGACTGTGCAGGAGCTGCCCTCCCAGGTACAGGTGAGACTACCTGATGTAGCCAGGACAGCGGTGGTAAGCTTTCAGATGTTTTCGGAGATGATTCATGCATTGAACCGTTGGGGGCGAGTCAGAAGAAATTCTTTTATCACAGTGACAACTTCCAGTGACGCTGCCCTCGTTGCCATCACCTGAACGGGATACAGGTGGTCAGCACAGGTTCCCCTGCCAAGGGCCTCCCCGCTGCTGTTACTTAGCCTCCAATCCCCTGCCCCATTGCAGCCTCTCCCCTAGGCCCCAGAGTCTGACTGCCAGGCTCAACCCACACATCACATTCCCAAAACATCCATAATCCCACCTGGGCCCAGGCGTCCCCCAGCCTCTGTCCCCAACCGCAGGCGGCTGGCCTTCTCCTTGTCTCGGCTGCCCAGGAGACCCTGGCAGCGCCTGGTTCCGCGCTTAACTCCGTGGCCCTAGTGTCTCCCCCCCCACCATCCCCTTGGCTCGTGACTCGGGGATCTGGCCCTCCAGCGCCCCCCTCACCTGGCAGAATCAGTAGCTCCAGCAGGAGGAATAGGACGGCGCACAACCAGGATCCCCAGCCCCAACTCATCTCGCGGAGTTTGGGGGAATGGGGCTGCCTGGACCTGTCTGACTCCCAGGCAGGCTCCGGAGTGCGACGTGCCCCTGGTTTCTCAGTGGCTTTCGCTTCCTCTCCCCGCGCCCGCCAGCGATCCTGGAGGAGACGGCGGGGGCCCGCTCCAGTCCCGGGTGGCAGAGGGGCGCGAGGCGGCGGCGCCGTCGAGAACGGACCGTGGGAGGTCGGTACGGCCGAGCCCGCCCCCTGCCGGCCGCTCACCGCGGGGAAACCCCCGGAGGCGGAGCTCCTCCGCCAGGCGCCCCCGCGCCAGGACCCGGCCCTCAGTCGAAGGAGCAGCCAGGAAGGCTTGAAGAAACCGAAAGGAAACCCAGGCTGCCGGGCGACGCGGGGTGAGGAAGGGGCAGGCGGGCCATGGCCCGACGGGCTGATTCGGTTCGGCTCAGGGGTGCCAGTGCCCTCCACCCGTCCCAGGTCACTGGTGAAATGGATGAGCTGCTAGACAGTCCTCCCACTTTCCCTTCCTTGGCTTCAGTCACGTGGCCTAGGGAGAGTCGCCACGCCTGCCCCCAGACACGCTCGCTCCAGCCGGGCAGCCACCAGTGGACGCCTCAGGCCGTGGGGGCGTGGCCGCCGGAGGAGCTGGCCGTGGGCTCGGGCACCCTGACGTCACGACCGAATCACCCCGCAAGCCCCCGAGGTATTTACCTTCGAAAAGTGGTGGCGGCTGCAGGTACCGGAGGAGCGGGGCGGCCGGGCCTCACGGCCAAACTAATCCAAGCCCAGGGGACGCCCTGGCTCTCCTGCCCATACCCAACAGGCGGATCCAAAATTCTTCCCTCCTCACCAAACCCTTCCCGAGAGGATTAGCCCTCCCTCATCTCTATTCTTAATTTAAACCCTACTTTCGAGGGTTTGAGTCCTCAGATTTTAAACCCAAAATACCGTCTCATCCCTGAATACTCATCTGCAACCCTAATCGCGCACTTTCAAGTCCAGCCCCCCATTTTCATCCCTGAACTCCCACCTCAGCCCTGAAAACTATATTCTTAGCTCCTAACACTCATCCATAGATCCCACCCCAAGTGACGCTCAAACCCTCTCTCCCCAATTTGTGACCCACCCCCAAACTCTCTCACCACTACCCTGTCCCTCACCATATATCTCTTCCTCTGCTCAGTCTGGGCCCAGGCCCTGTGCCCCTGAAGACATGGAGTTTGTGTCTGGATACCGAGATGAGTTCCTCGATTTCGCTGCCCTCCTCTTTGGCTGGTTCCGAAAGTTTGTGGCAGAGCGCGGAGCTGTAGGGGCCAGCCTTGAGGGCCACCGGCGGCAGCTGGAGGCCCAGATCAGAAGGCTGCCCCAGGACCCTGCCCTTTGGGTACTACATGTCTTGCCCAACCGTAATGTGGGCATCAGCCTGGGGCGAGGGGCAGAGCCAGGCCCTGGACCAGGCCTGGGAGCTGCCCGGCTCCTGGGAGATGAGCCTCCACTCCACCTGCGAGACCTGAGCCCCTACATCAGCTTCATCAGCCTAGAGGATGGGGAGGAAGGGGAGGAGGAGGTGGAAGATGAAGAAGAAGAGAATGGAGAGAAGAAGGGTGCAGGCACAGAGAAGGCAGAACCAGAGGAGGGTGGGGAGCCAGCCCCTACCAGCAAGGAGTCCCCCCAGGAAGCAAACCCTCCAGGGGAGGCAGAGGAGGCTGAGCAGGAGACAGGCGGTGGTGAGGACGGCTGCCGAGAGGACAGGGTGGAGGATGAAATGGGACCTGAGAAGAGGAAGGGACAGAGAAGTGGTAAGAACCCAGGGCTACCCCTGCCCTAGCCCTGCCCAGCCATACTCCCCTTCTAAAGCCCTCCCAGGCTGCTCAGAACCCAGGGGGAGTTCTGGGTGGTGGCCTTCAAGCCAGTCTGTCCTGAAAGGTGTTTTCATTGACCCTCAATGTTTTTTGTCTTTTGAGTCAACGTTTAAACATTGAAAGAAAAAAAATCCAAAAGTCTGCATTTACACATTCTCAAGAAAAATCTAAAGTTCTGAGAGGGGGCCTATATTTCTGCATGGCAGCGCATTCTGGTAATAGGCAACAGCTGTCCCCTTGGGGTGGAGCATGCCCTCTCTACCTAGTCCCCTGTACTCGCTGAAGTTACTTGCCTAGCCCCTGTAGGTATGTGAGTTTGGAACCCCTCACTGTGACCATATTTGTCTCCTGCTGTCTCCCCACCCCACCTTTTCCCTCTTTCCTCAGAGGCTGCACCCGTGCACCTTTCCTGCCTCTTACTGGTGACGGATGAGCACGGCACCGTCTTGGGCATTGATCTGCTAATGGATGGAGCTCAAGCGACTGTCTCCCGGGGCTCAGGGACTGAGAACTTGGCTTCTCGGGCCTATGCTCTCCTCTGCCACAGCATGGCCTGCCCCATGGGCTCTGGGGACCCCCGAAAGCCCCGACAGCTTACTGTGGGAGACGCTCAGCTGCATCGGTACAGAAATCTGGTATCTGAGGGTGGGGAGTCTGGGGACCTGGTCTCCTGAGCCCCCCAACCTGATGCCATCTCCACCCCTATTCAGAGAGCTGGAGAGCCGAGTCCCAAGGCTGGGCGTGAAGTTAGCCAAGACCCCAATGCGGACATGGGGTCCCCGGCCAGGCTTCACCTTTGCTTCCCTTCGGGCTCGAACATGCCATGTTTGTCACAGGCACAGCTTTGAAGTGAAACTGACACCCTGGTGAGCAGCCTGCAAAACTAGAGGGAGAGGAAGACCCCCAACAGACAAGCAAACAGAAAAAAAGCAGGCTGGCAGGGGGCCTAGCAGACAGACAAAATGAGGGGCAAGGAGCTAAGATAGAGAGGGAAAAACAAACAGGCTATTACAGGCTGGGCACGGTGGCTCATACCTGTAATCCCAGCTCTTTGGTGAGGCTGAGGTGAGAGAAGTACTTGAGCCCAGGAGTTCAAGACCAGCCTGAACAACAAAGCAAGACTTCAGCTCTACAAAAAGATTTTTTAAAATTAGCCAGGCGTGGTGGCTCATATCTGTAGTCCTAGAGAGGCTGAGGATCATTGACCCCAGGAGTTTGAGATTGCAATGAGCTATGATGACACACCACTGCACTCTAGTCTGAGCAATAGAGTGAGACCCTGTCTAGGAAGGAAGGAAGGAAGGAAGGGAGGGAAAGAAGGGAGGGAGGGAAGGAAGGAAGGAAGGGGGGAAGGAAGGAAGGGAGGGAGGGAGGGAAGGAAGGAAGGAAGGAAAAAGAAAAAACAAACAGGCTATTATAAGCAGTTAAAGGGTATAAGACAAACAGACTGAATGATATATGGGCAGCTGCAGGGCAGATGGACAGCAGACAGGACCTACAGAGATTAACACTAGGTGCCCACCATGCCCTGTGTCCCCAGCCCCCAGTGTAGTGCTGTCTTGTACTGTGGAGAGGCTTGTCTCCGGGCTGACTGGCGGCGGTGCCCAGATGATGTGAGCCACCGATTTTGGTGCCCAAGGCTTGCAGCCTTCATGGAGCGAGCAGGGGAACTAGCATCCTTGCCTTTTACCTACACTGCAGGTACCATAAGGAGGTTAGAATGGTTGGGGGAAACTGGGACCAGGTCTTTGGGACTGGGACCTGGGTGCCTGGGAACAGGGTCCTGGGGTTGAAGGCTGTATGCCTGGGGCTGGAGTCTAGATCCCTGGAATAAGGGCTGGGGACTGGGTGTTTGGGGCTGGAGAGAGGGTCTCTGAAGCAGAGGACTGAGTGACTGGGGCCTTAGAGAGTTTAGGGGATTGGGGGTTAGGGACTCAAATGCTTGCTTCCCAGCTCCACCACTAACTGGCAGTGTGACCTTAAACAAATCACTTTACATCTTGGAGCCTCAGTTTCCTCATCTGTAAAAGAGGGATTCTAACAAATGTTAAGACCCATGGAACTGTTACAAGGATTATGTGGGCTTGGTATGTGGTCCATTGTACACAAGCAGATACAAGGCTCCCTCCCTGACTGGAACCAGACTCAGACTCAGGGTCCCTGGGGAGGCTGAGGAGAGCTAAAGTCTGGGGTCATAGCCACTAGGCCCTCAGCTCCTTCCCTTTTCCTTCTCCAGAGGTGACCAGTGAAACCTTTAACAAGGAGGCCTTCCTGGCCTCTCGGGGCCTCACTCGCGGCTACTGGACCCAGCTCAGCATGCTGATTCCAGGCCCCAGCACCCCCAGGCATCCCCGGGGCAACATGCCATCCCTCAGCCTTCTTCTCAGTGGTACATGGGGCCTCTCTTCACGCATGGGCCCCTCAGCCTAGAGGGAAGGACTGGGGAGGAAAAGTTGTCTGGGTCCCAGATAACCCCTCCACATACATGCCAAACCCCTACCCATACCACGAGGGCCATTTCAGGCCTTTCCCAACCCTCAAAGGAGTCAACCCTGCCAACCCCACCCAGAAGCCCCATCCCTAGGCAAACCCCCATTCCTCTTTCTGCAGCTCCGGGCCCTCTCAGGGAACACAGCTCCTTTGGAAGGACGAGGGAGATGGGTCAGGTGGGGTCTCCCTGACTCCAGGCCCCTCTGCTTCCTTTCATCTTCTCAGGAGACCCCTACCAGCTTCTCCAGGGGGACGGGTCTGCCCTGATGCCTCCTGTGCCCCCAGATCCACCCAGAGGCATCTTTGGTGAGCCAGAGGGGCCCTGTGGGGAGCTGGGGGGAGGGACAGGGACTGGAGAGTCAGAAGCCTGGGTGGCTGAGAGAAAGAGAGCTATTAGATTAGAGGGGCTCGGGGTCCAGGCCCAGGGCCAGGTCCTCCAGGAGCCCACGCCCCTCCAGGGTCGTGGCAGGACTACTACACATGGCGGGGCCTCAGCTTGGACTCTCCGATGGCTGTGCTTCTCACCTACCCGCTGACGGTGTACTACGTCATCACCCACCTAGTGCCCCAGTCCTGTAAGGAGAGCTGGGCAGGGTGTGGAGGGTGCCAGGGCAGGGGCAAGAGAGGGAGGTAGGAAGGACAACATCCTTAAAGAACTGGCTTATCACCCAGTCCCTGAGCTGAACATCCAGAACAAACAGTCACTGAAAATACACGTGGTAGAGGCTGGGAAGGAATTTGACCTTGTCATGGTGTTTTGGGTAAGTCTCCCCAGGCCTGACGGTTGGGTATGTGGGTGTGGGGGTAGACATAAGGTGGGACCCAGATCTGTCCTTCTCTCTGTCTCTCAGGAGCTCTTGGTCCTGCTCCCCCACGTGGCCCTGGAGCTGCAGTTTGTGGGTGATGGCCTGCCCCCCGAGAGCGACCAGCAGCATTTTACCCTGCAGAGGGTGAGGGCTGAGGGGGGCCCTACTCTCCAGCCCTGGTCCCTCTAGTGGACTCATGACCTGTCCCAGCCTGTCTGCTTTCCCCTCCCCTGCCTTGCCTGGTGCATCTTCCAGGGCTCTGACTTCCAGTGGCTTCCCCACCCCACTCCTGGCCCCTCAGGATGGCCCTGAGGTGTCTGTCCGTCCTGGTTCCGGGGTATCAGCAAGGCTCAACTCTGGGACTAAGGAGAAGGGGGGCCGCAAGGACCTGCAGATCAAGGTGTCAGCAAGGCCCTACCACCTGCTCCAGGGGCCCAAGCCTGACCTGGTTATTGGTAAGAGCACAGGGCTCAGGGGTAGGGGAGGTAGGAGAGAAGCAGACAGTGGGAGCCAGCTTCTCCCTGTTCTCTGTCCCCAGGATTTAATTCTGGCTTTGGTCTCAAGGACACTTGGCTGAGCTCTCTGCCCCGGTTACAGGTGAGGAATGGGGGCAAAAGGGAACTTCTCTCGCCTCCTGCCCAGCCCCTCCTCCAGCCCCTTTTCTGAAAGTGTCTGGACTCCTCTTGCCCATCATCTGCTCCACAGACCCAGGGAGTGCCCGGGGTCCTCTTGCCCCGCCCTGCTGCCCCGTGCCTCTCCTCCAGCCCAGTCTGTCCTGGGGCCTCGGCTTCCCCCGCTGTGTGTCCTCCTGGGTGCTCGAGATGGACCTGGTCGGGGGAGCCGCTCAGAGCCCGTCTCTGAGGCGCTGCCCCCCGCAGTCCCTCCGGGTGCCTGCCTTCTTCACCGAGAGCAGCGAGTACGGCTGTGTCATGGACGACCAGACCATGGCGGTGGCCACCGGCGGGGGCACCAGCCCTCCCCAGCCCAACCCCTTCCGCTCCCCGTTTCGCCTCAGAGCGGCCGACAACTGCATGCCCTGGTAAGGGCCCGCGACCCTCCCTATTTCCTTCCCAACCTTTAACGCCTCTTACTCTCCGGCTCCGCATCCGAAAAGGTCCGGCTCTGCCCTAGTCTCTGCTGTCCCGGCCCCTCCTCCGCCCAGCCCACTACCTGTCTTCTCTGCCCCGACGTCTCACCACCCCCATGGCTGCTCTCGACAACCGCCAACACACCCCGCTTTAGAGCCGGCTCACGGAATCTCCCCAGCTCCTCGCCCCGTCCCACAGAAAGACCCTGCTACCCTCGAGCGGGCCGAGCCCTAAGTCTAGCCCCACCTCCTGGAACTCGCGGCGGGGGCCTCAAGCCCCGCCCCCGGGATCTCGGCCCCGCCCCCTGACCGCCCACGCCTCCCCCAGGTACTGCAACGCCTTCATCTTCCACCTGGTCTACAAGCCTCCGCAGGGGAGCGGGGCCCGCCAGGCACCCGGCCCGGCGCCCCCGGCCCCGACTCCTGCTGCTCCCCCCGCGCCCACCCGAAGGCGCCGAGGGGAAAAGAAACCCGCGCGGGGGGCCCGCCGGCGCAGATGAGCGCTGCGAATGCGTCAGTCCACCCCCTCCCCAAACGCCTTCGAAAGGAAACCATGAAAACACACAAGGCCCAGGGGGAGGACTGGTTGGCGGAACATGAAAAGGTAAATAAAATTACTTGTTTGACACCACAGAGTCACTGACCCTTTGATTACTCGCTCCTAATTGGGTCAATAAACAGAGAAGAGAGGGGATTTAGAGAGGACGTACCCCCAGCCCCTTTCACTCCCTGTGACGGCTGTCCCTTCTCCATCTCAGAGTCAGGGATTCTGACCCTCCTTGGTAATCCCAATCCTCTCCTAGTTTATAGGTCGGTAAGTCATTTTCCAGCCCCAGTAACCCTCAGGGACCCGCACTAAGGCAAGAAAATACCAAGAAGCAGAGTGTCGTCTCACTAGGAAGGCAGGGGAGCTAGAGGCACACAGACCCCTCGGTTTGGATTCTGTGAAAGGCCCCACCCACCCAACTCCACCTTCTTTCATTACCTCACATCCAATAAACAATCGATTCCTGCAGAGTTGGTCTCTTAAAATTGCTGGGATCCGTCCATGTATGTCCAATCCTGTGGCAAACTCCACCATATCTCATCTCCTCCTTGCAGCCCAGAGTAGTCCTCCTAAAACAGACATCCAAACTCATTTCTCCCTTGCTTAAATCCCTTCAGTAACTTCCCTCCGCTCTTAAAATCCCCTTGAATGTGGACTGGACGGCTTCAGAGTCACTAAGTATAAAATGGGGAAAATAGTGGAGAAACCTTGGCAGACACCACCTAAACCAAGGGGTCACGGTTAATAATAAGTAATAAGCCCTGTTGACATTATGTGCCCCCATATGGTGTGATGAGAAGGCCACAATCACCTCTATGGTATTCTTCCCCAAAATCCACCACTACAGTCTAATCATGAGAAAACATCAGACAGATCCAAATTGTAGAACAGTCTGCAAAATATTTGACACTATTCTTCAAAAGTGCCAAAGTCATGAAAGACAAGGAAAGACCAAGAAGCCGTGACAGATTAGGAGATACTAAGGAGACATGACAACTAAAGATGACATAGTATCCTGGATTGGATCCGGGAACAGAGAAAGGACGTCAGTGGAAAAACTGGAGAAATCTAAATAGTCTATAGTTTAGCTAATAGTATTGTATCAATGCTAATTTCTTATTTTGGATAAACATGCCATGGTTATGGAAGATGTAACTTTAGAGAAAGGTGGTGAACAGTATATGAGAACACCCTACTATCTTTGCAACTCATCTATAAATCTAAAATTATTTCAAAATGAAAAGTTAAAACTTAAGTTCAGACTCTTTAATATAGCTTATAAAGTATCTCTCTGTTATTCTCTTTTACTGTAAACATTTTATTATTTAAATCTCCAAATATACAAAAGCTCAGAGACTTAGCATAATGAATCTCTATATACCCATCACCCAGCCCCAACAATTATCAACATTTTGTTCATTTTATTATTTCCATCTCCAGGTTTTTTCCAGAATATTTTAAAGCATACCCCAGACATCTCACTTATATGCATCCATAACTAATAAGGGCTTTTAAAAAAAAAATGTAACCATGGTGCCATTATCACACCCAATGAAGTTAACAATCATTCCTTAATATCCTGCAATGCCAACTTTACATTCCAATTTCTTAGGTGATCTCAAACATGCCTTTTACAGTTGGTTTGTTCCAATCAAGAAATAAATAAGGCCGGGCGCCATGGCTCATGCCTGTAATCCTAGCACTCTAGGAGGCCGAGGCAGGAGGATTGCTTGAGCTCAGGAGTTCAAGACCAGCCTGAGCAAGAGCGAGACCCCGTCTCTACTATAAATAGAAAGAAATTAGCCAAACAACTAAAAATAGAAAAAATTAGCTGGGCACAGTGGCTCTTGCCTGTAGTCCCAGCTACTCTGGAGGCTGAGGCAGGAGGATCGCTTGAGCCCAGGAGTTTGAGGTTGCTGTGATCTAGGCTGATGCCACGGCACTCACTCTAGCCTGGGCAAAAGAGTGAGACTCTGTCTCAAAAAAAAAAAAAAAGAAAGAAAGAAATAAGATCTACACATTGCTTTTGGTTCACATGTCTCTTAAGTCCCTTTTATTTTATAACAGATCTCCCTCCCTTTTATTTCTTTTTTATTTTCATGCCACTGATTCGATAAGAAGCTGAATCATTATTCCTGTAGACTGTCCCTTATTCTGTAGCTGACTGATCACTCTCTCAGGGTGTTTTAATTTTTTTATTTTTATTTTTAATTTTTTTACTGACTGCCATGGCATCTGCCTAGCTCACAGTAACCTCAAACTCCTGGCCTCAAGCAATCCTCCTGCCTCAGCCTCCTGAGTAGCTGGGACTACAGACGTGAGCCACCATGCCCAGCTAATTTTTTCTATTTTTAGTAGAGATGGGATCTTGCTCTTGCTCAGGCTGGTCTCAAACTCCTGACCTCAAGTGATCCTTGCACCTCGGCCTCCCAGAGTGCTAGGAATACAAGTGTGAGCCACCGTGCCTGGCCTCTCAGTGTGTTTTGAAATTTGTTCCTTTAGTTTCTATAAAGTGGTAATGAGATCTAGATGACAAGGCTCTTTCCATGTGGCCCCTGTCAACCTCTGCAGGCTTATCTCATATGGCACTTCCCACCATTCCTTACACTGTAAATGGAATTTCCTGTTTTCTTGCTCACCTACTTCCTACTCAGCCTTAGGTCTCAGCCTATGTGTCACTTTCTTAGGGAAGGAGGCATTTCCTGACTCCCCTCTCCCCCCGTTCAGCCCTCATAGTACCTTATATGTCCCCTTTGGTGACCTTTATCACACTTACAATTTCTTGCGGACCCTTTCAACTGTAAACCCAGAAAGAAGGTATGCTCAGGGTCTAGCCTGGCCTGGCACACAGTAGGTGCTCATTAACTGCTTATCAGACTGCTTTACCCCCACCCTTTCCACCCTCCCTCCTCATCTTTCCTCTCTGTTTTACCCCCTACAGCCATAAAGGGAAAGCCTAGGTCTCTGGTAGGTTGAAGAGAAATGGAACTTTTCACCTCTCCCTTAGCCAGAAAATAATCTTTCCCTACATCCTTGCCATCTGCCACATAAAAGTATAAAAGGATATGGTTATCTCCAAGTGGTAGGATTACTAAGGATTTGTTTATTCATTTTGTTTTGCTGTACTGCTCATTTTTCTTCCATGAACACACAGTACTTTTGTAATTAAAATGTTTAACGTAAAAATAGCTCTTTAATTATTCACTTACCAACTATTGATAGAATGCACACAGGCTTTGTGTTGGACCGACCGTAGAGCTGCAATGAGGGAAAAGAAACAGATGATGGTCACTGCCTCCATAAAGCTTACAGTCCATGGCAGGGGTCAGTAAACTGTGACCTCCAGCCAAATCCAGCCCACTGTCTGTTTTTGCATGGACTTCGAGCTAAGAAATCAAAAGAAGAATAAGATTTCATGATGACAAAATAATATGAAATTCAAATTGCAGTGTTCAGCCAGGCAAAGTGGCTCATGCCTATAATCTCAGCACTTTGGGAAGCCAAGGCAGGAGGATCATTTGAGACCAGGAGTTTGAGACCAGCCTGGGCAACATAGCCAGACCCCATCTCTAAAAAAAAAAAATAATTAAAAAACGAAATTAGCCAGGCCTGTTGGCACATGCCAGTAGTCCTAGCTACTTGGGAGGCTGAGGCAGAAAGATTGCTTAAATCCAGAAGCTCAAGGCTACAGTGAGCTATGATCTCACCACTCTCACCACTGTACTCCAGCCTGGGTGACAGAGGGAGACCTTGTCTCAAAAAAAAAAAAAAAATTGCAGTGTCCATAAATTTATATTGAAACAGAGCCACAACTGTTTCTTTATGTAATGTCTGTGGTAACTTTCAGGATACAAATGGCAGGGTTTGCATACTGTACTTACAACAGAAACCCTATGGCCTGCAAAGTCTAAAATATTTACTAATGGGCCCTTTACAGGAAAAGTTTACTAAACCTAGTCTAAGGCAAGATTTTCAAAATGCAAGTTGTTTTTTTTTTTTTGAGGCAGAGTCTCGCTTTGTTGCCTGGGCTAGAGTGAGTGCCGTGGCATCAGCCTAGCTCACAGCAACCTCAAACTCCTGGACTCAAGCAATCCTTCTGCCTCAGCCTCCTGAGTAGCTGGGACTACAGGCATGTGCCACCATGCCCGGCTAATTTTGTCTATATATATATTTTTTTAGTTGTCCAGATCATTTCTTTCTATTTTTTAGTAGAGACGGGGTCTCACTCTTGCTCAGGCTGGTTTCGAACTCCTGAGCTCAAACAATCTGCCCGCCTCGGCCTCCCAGAGAGCTAGAATTACAGGCGTGAGCCACCGCGTCCGGCCCTAAAATGCAAGTTTTGAGATTTTGTGTGAATGATGAAGTCAATTTAGTGGGCCCCAAACATCCTTCTTGTTTTAATGAAATAGAATACAATAAAAATATTAATGTGTGTGACATGTAGTAAGAGTAAATATTGTTTTGTGAAACATTTGTTTCACTTCTACGTACAATATATACTTATATGTATATATGCTGCATCCTGATGTAAAATGTATTTCTTACTGTGGACCATGGTCAAAACATCTGAAAGTCACTGGCTTGGAGAGATGCCTGGAAGAAACAGAGAAGAAACAAGAAAACTACAGTACAGTGTGATTGGTGCAATGATGAAAGAGTTACAGACCCTTAGGGGCATATAAGACAGCCTTGGGGCTGTCAAGAAAGGATTCCAGGAGGAAATGAAATCTCAGCAGTGACCTGAAGGACAAGTAGGAGTTAACCAGGTAAAGAAGAGAAGAAGAGTAATAGCATGTACAAAGGGATCTCATTATGTTGCCCAGGCTGGTCTTGAACTCGTGGGCCTCAGGCAATTCTCCCACCTTAGCCTCCTGAAGTGCTAGGATTAACAGGTGTGAGCCACCATGCCAGCCAAGATTTTTTTTTTTTTTTTTTGAGAGAATCTCATTCTGTCGTCCCAGGTAGAGTGCTGTGGTGTCATTGTAGCTCACAGTAACCTCAAACTCCTGGACTCAAGCAATCCTCCTGCTTCAGCCTCCTGAGGAGCTAGGACTACAGGCACTCACCACGATGCCGGGATGATT